AAGAAAGTATATATAGATCATTTCTATTTTTATGATAAGAGATCTGTGTTGCATTTTCATCGGTACTATTATGTATGTAGATAAAACGTGGTATTATGTGCCTTGAAATATCTTTGTATCTAAATTTTAATTTTGCTAAAAAACTAAATCTTGAAATAATAATTTATTAAAATGTATGTAAACATATTCTATAATTATACACGAACTCCTAATATGTATAATTAAGAAGAATATAAATTATTTTATACAGCTACTCATATTACTTCTTTTATAAAATTTTCATCAACAATGTTTACATTACAGTTTAAATAAAATTTAGTGATTTTACAGAAACACTTTAGCACTTATTCCTTTATTAATATAACATAACTAGGGAAACACAACAAAATGTTATACAGGGTGTCCCAAAAATGTCTCGCAATCCGGAAATGGGAGGTTCCCGTGTTCATTCGAAGCAACTTTTTCCTTTACAAAAATTTTCTCCGAGGCATCGTTAACGAGTTATTAACGAAAAACAGTGGCCAATGGAAAACGAGCTTGGCTGGCGCGTGGCGGCCGACCAATCTCAGTCCCGTTCATTGGCTCGGCCGCCTCGCGCCAGCTGATCTCCCCTCTCATTGGTCACTGTTTTTCGTTAATAACTCGTGAACGAAGCCGCGGATTGCATTTTCGCTAAGGAAAAAGTTACTTCGAATGACCCGAGAAATCTTCCATTTCCGGATTGCGAGACATTTTTGGGACACCCTGTTGAGTAGGAGACATTACTTCATCATAGTAGCTAACAACTAAATGACATCTCATGGCAGCAGACAAAGAAGTAATTACAAAAGGGAAACATTATAAAGCCCAAGATGTTGACAGGAAATGCTATACAGTATGACTCATACTTGTCTTTATCATCAAAATTAATTAATTAATTAATGATTAAGTAAACTTTGCAAGCAATTATTGATTATTAATATAATATTTAATTAGAATTTTATTTATACAACTAGTCGATTATTTTGTATTCAACATCACAGACGATTTAAGTCAAAGATTCTTAAATGAATATATTGCACTTCATGTAAAAATAACGATTAATAGGGTCTTGTTTAAAGAACATAAACAAAAGCATTTCTAGTAAATTTTTAAATCTGAAATAATTTGACCAAAGTATTTTATGACACGTTCACTTACATTATAATTTAAGACGTGATTTTTAAATTATTTATGCTCAAAGCTTAAGGATTATGGTCTAGATTCAAATATAAATCTAACACACTTCATTCTCTCTCTCTCTCTCTCTCTCTCTCTTCTCTCTCTCTCTCTCATGTCCATAGTTTTTTTTCCTCTGGCAATATAGTGAGTCACTAGTAATGAGTCATACTCATCCATAACATAGAAAAACCAATGAGATATCTGTCACGTGACTAAATGTGTAGCCATTGTTGTCGTTTTACTCTATGTATGTACAATTCTTAAGATGAACAGATGATAGGCATTTCAATATTACATATCAAGACATGAGAGAGGACTATCGTTTCATTTCTTGAGTGTTGGATCGTTGAAGTAAGGTACATAGACCACCGATATACATATTAATCATTCAGTCATATTGTGCCATTACAAGAATATAGTGTCGTGTACCATAACATAACCTCGTTTCCATTTTAAAATGTGAGTAGACAATGAATTATATGAAATAAACACTGTTTAAATAATAAAAAGGTGGAAAGTTTAGCTATTAATTCATTTAAATGAAATGATTCTATAATCTGTGTTCTTTATTACTTAAATATAAACATGTAATAGTACATTTGAAAAGAGTACTCTTAATATTTCTTGTATTACTTATAGTAATAATGAATTTCAAATAATCATTTTCCTACAACATTCTTTAGTATTATACTATCAATAAAAGTCATAGACCACCGATATACATAATCATTCAGTCATATTGTGCCATTACAAGAATGTAGCGTCGTGTACCATAACATAACCTCGTTTCCATTTTAAAATGTGAGTAAACAATGAATTCTATGAAATATAAACACTGTTTAAATAATAAAAAGGTGGAAAGTTTAGCTATTAATTTATTTAAATGAAATGATTCTATAATCTGTGTTCTTTATTACTTGAATATAAACATGTAATAGTACATTTGAAAAGAGTACTCTTAATATTTCTTGTATTACTTATAGTAATAATGAATTTCAAATAATCATTTTCCTACAACATTCTTTAGTATTATACTATCAATAAAAGTCATAATATACAAATTAAAGAAAGTAACCTCAAATGATGATACATTCCAAAAATATATGTATTTGTTTTATGTAGCAGATTGAAACAATGTCTGAAGTTGAAGAAACATCACCAGAAGCTGTAGAAGCAGCTGNGTAGCGTCGTGTACCATAACATAACCTCGTTTCCATTTTAAAATGTGAGTAAACAATGAATTCTATGAAATATAAACACTGTTTAAATAATAAAAAGGTGGAAAGTTTAGCTATTAATTTATTTAAATGAAATGATTCTATAATCTGTGTTCTTTATTACTTGAATATAAACATGTAATAGTACATTTGAAAAGAGTACTCTTAATATTTCTTGTATTACTTATAGTAATAATGAATTTCAAATAATCATTTTCCTACAACATTCTTTAGTATTATACTATCAATAAAAGTCATAATATACAAATTAAAGAAAGTAACCTCAAATGATGATACATTCCAAAAATATATGTATTTGTTTTATGTAGCAGATTGAAACAATGTCTGAAGTTGAAGAAACATCACCAGAAGCTGTAGAAGCAGCTGTTGAACAGGATGTTGTGTCTGAAGAAGATAAGCAATATTTGACGGACTATCTTAAGGAAACTGAGCAACGATTAGCTATGAAAGAAGAAATTCGAGCAGCAAACTTGAATCCTAATAGACCATCAGACACATATTTTAGTAAATTAGATTCAACATTAAAAAGAAACACAACATTTGTAAAAAAATTAAAAAATTTTAGTAGTATACAATTAGAAACAGTTCTAAAAGATATGATACATTTAAATTTAACAAAATATGTGAGTGAAGTTGCTACTGCTTTAGTGGATGCCAAATTGAAAATGACAGATGTTGCACCTGCCATAAAAATATGCAGTTTCCTGCATCAAACATATGCAGAATTTTCAACACATTTCTTTGAAAATTGGCAAAGAATTTTGTCTTTAAAGGTTGTGGATAAAATTACCAATCCAAGTAAACTAAGAGTGGATCTTAGATTTTATGCTGAATTAGTTAATGCAGGCATTTTCACACATAAACAAGGACTGCCTTTGCTTGGTTCAGCATTGACAGTTTTAATTAATATGGATAAAGAAGAACATAATAATGCAAGCATTATATTAAGTTTCTGCAAACACTGTGGTGAAGATTATGCAGGTCTTGTGCCCAAACGAGTAAGGGAAATATCAGAAAAATTGAATGTACCAATACCTAAAAGTAAATTACTTTCACCCGATAAACAGCAAAATGTTAGATTATTGCTAAGAGAGTATTACAATTCATTATGCAAGCACTTATTGAAAGAACACAAAGATCTTCAAGCTTTTGAAAAACAAAATCGAAAGATCTTACAAACTAGAGGTGAACTAAGTTCTGAAAGAAAAGACAAACTTGAGAGTCTTCAAGTATCTTATGAACGCTTGCTCAATAATGTGCAAAGCTTTTCAGATACTTTAGACGAACCTATGCCAGAACTTCCTGTTGACAGTGAAATGAAAGCAGAAGCAGAAGAAACATTGAAAATGATTAGTGAAGGGGAAGAGAATAGCATCCTTGAAGACATGTGGGGAGATGAAGAAACCAGACGATTTTATGAAGTTTTGACAGATCTAACAGTATTCCTTCCAGGATCGCATTTTAAAGAACTACCTAAACAAGATGTACCAATAAGTGAAGAAGCTTTGGATGAAGAAATCACATTTGATGAATTGGAAGAAACTGAAAAAGTAGATGAACCAGAAGCAGAAGTTGAGGAACCTCAAGTTGCAAATATTAGTAATAAAATACTCTTGGATGCATTTGTAACTCATTTGCCAAACTGTGTTAATCGTGAAATGATCGACAGTGCTGCTGTTCACTTCTTAATGAGTCTCAATACAAAACATAACAAAAAAAAGTTAGTGAAAGCATTATTTGGTGTGTCTAGAATTCGCCTAGATTTACTACCATTTTATTCACGTCTGGCTGCTATTCTTTACCGTGTTATGCCAGATGTTGGTAACGACTTGTGTTTAATGTTGAAGCATGATTTTAAGTATCATGTACGAAAAAAAGATCAAATTAATATTGAATCAAAAGTAAAAGTTGTGAGGTATATTGGTGAACTTGTTAAATTTAAACTTTATTCAAAGATAGAGGCATTATATTGCTTAAAAGTTTTGCTACATGACTTCACTCATCATCATATTGAAATGGCATGTAACTTATTAGAAACATGTGGGAGATACTTGTTTTGTTCTCCAGACTCACACCAAAGAACAAAAGTATATTTGGAACAAATGATGCGTAAGAAAGCAGTCACTGCATTAGACTCACGTTATGTAACCATAATTGAAAATGCATATTATTTTGTAAATCCACCAGAATCTACTGGAGGTATTTCGAAAAAGGACAGACCACCGATTCATGAATTTATAAGAAAATTATTATATCAAGATCTTTCAAAAACTAATACTGATAAAGTTCTTAAGTGGATGCGTAAATTAGACTGGGAAGATGAAAATGTATCCTCTTATGCTATTAAATGTCTCACTGCCGCTTATAATGTTAAATATTTAAATATTCGATGTGTAGGAAGTTTATTAGCTGGACTTGTTGCGCATTATGAAACTATAGGTCCTCATGTAGTTGATGGTGTGTTAGAAGATATAAGATTATGTATGGAAATCAATCTACCAAAATTTAATCAACGTCGCATTGCTATGGTTAAATATCTTGGTGAATTGTATAATTATCGTATGATGGAAAGTGGAGATATTTTCCGTACTTTGTATTTGCTAATTACTTTTGGAGTCAGCATGGATCATAATATACCAAGCGTTCTGGATCCCCCAGACCACTTGTTCAGAATTCGATTAGTCTGTACATTACTAGAAACCTGTGGACAGTATTTTAATGGTGGTTCTAGCAAGAAGAAACTTGATTATTTTCTAGTATTCTTTCAAAATTATTACTGGTTTAAATACACAGATCCTATTTGGGGTCCTGATAATACTTTTCCTGTAGGTATAGATTATATGTATCGTGATACACTAACAATGTTGAGGCCTAAAATGCAATTATTTCAAAGTTATAAAGAAGCACAATCTGCTGTGGAAGAATTACGAAATACATTGTATCCTACTCTTGGAAATCCTACTGCAGAAGACGGTGCTGATGCAGAATCTGATATGGGTGTAATTGCTGAGGGAGATGAAGAAGTGACTATAACATCTGGAAATGGCAGTGGAGATGCAAAGGGTGTAGCTGATTTACATTTTGAGGAATCTGAAGATTGTTCTGAAGCACAGTCAGAGGAAGAATGGACAGCTGATGGAGAAAGAGATGATACTATGGGTACTCAAGAAAATACGCAAGGAGATCAAAGTCTTTCAGGAGGTGGCACAGATGGTGTTCTTATGGATGTCACAGAATTAAATGCAGCGTTACCTGCCGGTCCCAGAAGAGTGAGTTGTCCTGAAGATGACGACTTTTTATCCGCTCTTGATAAAATGGTTTCAGATAATATACAAGACAGAATGCGAGATTCCGTAAAAACACAACAAGTAGACATTTCAGTTCCTTTACATGTAAAAACTACTAAGAAAACGTATGAACAATTACAAGAAAGACCGTCTGACAATAATACGGTTGATTTTGTTCTTATGCTAAGGAAAGGTAATAAACAACAATACAAAAATTTAGCGGTTCCTGTGTCATCAGAATTAGCAATGAATCTTCGAAATCGAGAACAAGAACAAAAAGAAGAAAAAGAACGAGTTAAAAGATTAACGTTGAACATAACAGAAAGACAAGAGGAGGAAGATTATCAGGAAACAATTAACCAGAGTACAAGACCAGTGACAGTAAATTTAAATAGGGAACGACGACAAAAATACAATCATCCAAAAGGCGCACCGGATGCGGATCTCATTTTTGGTCCCAAAAAGATTCGATAAATTCCTTTGATTAGTGTTGAAACAATTTTTGTCATACTATAAAATCAAAAGTGATTTTATACAATTCTATGAACTACAATCGTCTTCGTACATTTCTATATAATTTTTAACAATTTAGTGTTTTTATTTATAATTTTGGAACCCACATTTGTTATTTATACAAATTCGCAGTTCAACACTGTAAAAATGTTATTTACCTAATATATTAGAACTACATAAATTTATTATATATGTA